AAGGTCGGCAGGGTGATATTACAGATATTCTTGCTTTTCCGGAGCCACAATTAAAGGCTAGTTGCAATCCATTATTAGGCGACAGTGATCTATTCATATTCATCAATCAATTCGTCATCATATCTTTCTATTCAGGTCACTGGACAAAACCATCCCTTAAGATTACAGAAAATTTCTAGAGCTAATGATCATCTTTCTGGGAGGAAAATTAACGAGTGACAATCGTTCTTGAGCTTTGGACCCAATGCACCATGCAAGGTGGAGGTCCAATGCGATTTGGTCGCTGAAAATATTCATGTTTCGTGAACAGTTAGATCCAACGTTCCAAGAAAAATCAGGATCAACTCATACGTGCATTGTTTCTTTAGATCAAAGAGCTTGGTTTACAGCATCAAATCCAGTCGCAACTTCCGCTAACGCCTAAAAATTGTTACAATAGTTTGTGCAAAATACCAGTTGTCTTAGCTCTTTCCTGACGAACATTTGGAAAGCTATCTTTGAGAAATGCAACAATCACCTTTGGTATTTATACGAAGAATTGGTTGCTTTGGCCTTTTTCAATGAAAACGTGAGTGCAGAAGGTAAGAGAAAAATGTACCAAGCTTTTAAATTTCATTCGGAATTCAATGATGATCAAAAACGAAGAAGAACCGCAGTGAAAGATCTCCGATTGGTTCCAGAACCGACTTTAGATTCATTTGTCACTAAAAATACATCAAAGTTCGAAATTTTGAAAATTGATCCCAGTTTTATGGAAAGTTATCCAACCACATGGGACCAACAAGAGGATTTTTTAACAGCTTTAAAAGTTGTCAAATGTCTTTAGGTGAACGATATTGCAGAAAGAAGTAGTTAGCAAGTATAAGATTTGCTTATCACACATGAAAAGAGCAAATATCCTTAATCCGATTTCTTCGTTAAAGGGAATTGACCACGTTACAATATCCTTAACACCGATCGGAAATAGTCAAATAGAAATAGTATCATTGGAAAACTCAGAAAGTGATCTTTGAAATGTTATGGAAATTTTATTGTTTTTATTGCAATCTATCAATATTATGCGTACTAAAAAACTCGAAAAGTCCACTCCAGTTACTTGATACTTTCAATCCGAAAGGCCTCCCTCTATTATATATAAATGACACAAATGCCAGATCGTTTCAAAGCATACAAAGCCAGCTTTCGAATGATTTAAATTTCATCCATGTGTCTCTATGCCAACCGAAGTTAAGACTATTTGAACATTAAGAAACATGAAGTCGGTATATCACGACTACCTTGAAGGTTTTCCATTTGGTCAAATTTTCAGCCCCCGTGTAAGCAAAAAAATTATGCATTTCCGGTATTGAAAGATCATTTGAAAGATCATTTTCTGAGCTGTTAAAGGAGACTATTCATTTGGTTAGGTCCTTTCTGTTCTGAGTTATAAATCAATAAATTTTATGTGTTAACGATTATGTGAAAGATTCACGATTTGAAACATTAGACAAATAAAATATTCCATGTCGTTTCAAAGATCACTTTCTGAGATTTCCAATGATACTATTTCTATTTGACCATTTCCAATCGGTGTTAAGCATATTGTAACGTGGTCAATTCCCCTTAACGAAAAAATCGGACGTTATCTGCCCGTCTTCCCCCGATCGAATAAAACCTATATGGGCGTCACTTGACTTTTCTGTTAGAAGCAACAAGCCAGATTACAAGCAAAGCACGGCCAAATTCCTCAGAACCAAAATCCAAACCGTCAACTAAAATCGGAACGATCGGAGAAACCGTGGTAACGTTCCGCGCTGCTCAGGGGTGAGGTTGTGGAGAGAGGGGTGAGTAGAGATGGGAACGAGGTTCGGGGTAAACTTAGACAGAAAGAGAGAAAAGAACAGAAGAGGGTTCGAGTGATTGAGTTAGATTCTAACCGTTCAAATATTATATATATGTACCGGCTCGGTAGAAAATACAAAAAAGAGATAAAAAATTAAAAAAAAGAGAAACAAGAAAAAAAATATACTCGGTGAACCCGAAAAAATGAAATAGAGTAGCAGGAAAGATGAACAGATTAAAGGTATACAATAAAGAGAATGAGTATTATGATTCCGCGATATGGTATGTGAGAGAGGCTAAGACGAGCACTAATACCTTAAAAAACAAAAAAAGACGGGCGTGAGTTACATAGAGATATCGAGAGAGGGGGACTCGGAATTTCGTGATGATTAATTGACTTGTGACGATTTCGGTCGTCACCCGAGTTGAATATTTTTGTAATTTCTTTTTTTTGTGATCAATCCCTTCTACAAAGCGACCTGAATTTTGAATAAGGCCTCTCGGAGACCCCTCTCGACCTCGAGTGTCAGGAAGGAAAATTTATTTATCCTTCCGGCATCAACAAATTTAGTTTTATTGTCCCTTAATACCGTTCGTCTGGGTGAAATCCTCGACACCGAGATGCGTTGAGGGTACGGAGGCTCGTCACGACTTCCGCGAAATCTGGAGGAGCCTAAATGACCCTGATGATGACAATCAGAGGGAGGATTGAGCGACAGCGTCCATCGACAGGCCCAGGTTAAATCAACAGACGCAAAATGTGTCCTCGACTAAGGATCCAACGTTTCCAGCTGCTGGGAGTACGTGGCACAGGTCGTCCTGGCCGGAGCAGCGACCTGGAGAGAGATACTGTCCGAAAATCTATCAGCTGACGTCACGGGAAGTCGAAAGGAGATTAGTCGACCTGGAGCTCTCTCCGAGAACATCGAGATTTCCACGAATTTTCCACCCCGCTGACTCGCCATTTTGATCCAGCGCTGGAGATCCATCTCCGTGAGTTTTTATTTCGACATATCTAAATTTGTTTATGTTTCAACCGCCGCAAAATCATGTAAAGTTTAGATCAAATTATTTTAGAATTTATTTGGAATTTACGGGCAAAAACATTGTGAAATTTGTAGAAATTAATTTCGAGTTCGTTTTCCATTCATATTCGGAATTTCCGGGAAATTTAGAAACGCTGGTTCTATGGTGCGAATTCCGAGTGTTCTTTTGATTTCAAGGAAAATATGTAAAATAATGAAAAATTCTGAAAAATTTCCCCCCTTATTTTTGAGGCTCAAGCATTGTGAAGCGTACCGGCTCAAGCTTGAGCAGAGTTGCCTCCAGGCCGGCATAGAGTCAAGTTGAGTTTTTGAGGAGAGAACACGGTTCTCATGATTTGAATTATTTTATTATTCCTATTAAGATTATTTTCATTATGTTGTTCGGGATATTATTATTGAGTTAGAATATCCAATAATTTGATTGTATGGTTTATCGGAAAAATCTTCTGGGTTGCGTTCCTTCGCCGTGTAAGTTTCTTTTGTCGTGACGGGAACAGAAAAGCCCGTCAGCAAGATTTTGTATCACTTTCTGTTCAATTTGCTTTTTGTGTAAATTACAATATTTTTCCTTTTGAATCGGAAAACCCGTGTCTTCTTTTGTTGAGGTAGAGGAGAATCCCAGAGAGGGGGTATCGTCCTCCTTCCCCTTGTAACGAGAAGGGTCTACTCACAAATGAGCAGCTAGCCATTTTGAGTTATTGAATTTACTGATTTTTGTATTGAGTTGGGAGGAGTCAGTACCTCTCGACAAATATTTACACTGACTGGCGCCCCGGCAAAATTTTGGGAGTTGCGATTGCATCTCAAATCGGAGAAATAAATTGAAGCTTATTGCTCTGAGGCATTGACGTATATCCCAAACTCATTATTTATCCAATTATTCAGGACCCTGAATTTTTCTGACACCTTTACGGAGCGAGAAAACGAGATTCTCCCAAAAGAAAAATATCTACAGATACTGAGGAAAATGGTGACGATCCGTGGGGCGGCACAAGGCGAGCAGAAACACTCGAGTTGTTTATGGCAGCGAAAACACCGTTGATGTTGTCCGGTGACGCGTCTAACAAAAAAAAAAACAGATGACAAAAAAAGCGGAAAACGATGCAGTTTCCATTGACTGGCGAGGCGGCTCGTATGCAGCACTGAGTCCACCCAGACCTGACACGCCGACCAATCACTGGAAGCCAAACGAATAGTGACAAACCACTCGCGAGAAAATTACCCTTATGACCGCGCGGATTTCATCAACGAGAAGGAAATGAAGGGGGGAGGCACACTTCTGTGGTGGAGCGCAGCCGCCAGGCCGTATAGAAAGGGAGAAGGAAAAAAACGAACGGAAAAGGAAACGGCACGTCGCTGCCGAAGCCAACCCTTGGCTTCATCATTCCCGAAGGCGATAATTTCAGGAGAAGACCCTGGGAGATGCTCCTAGCGGAGCGGTCTGAACGCAACTACCTTTCCTTATTTTCTGAATTTCGGAGGGTTGAGAATTGCTATCCCCCCCCCCCCCCCCAATATCGCGGGAACAACGGTGTTCCTCGAAAAAAATCCGCCATCACGTGGGATGGCGTATTAGGCATTTCTACCGCAAACACGAAATAATTGGCCATCCAGCACACTTAGATGCTTCTTAGCTCTCAGACCTTAATCCGAGTATGCTGAGTATTTTTTAGGTAAATGACTGTTCAACCGCCAAGTCACTTCAACAGTATCCACGCAATAAACGTCAATGAGACTACTTCCGCTATGGAAAAATAAATGAAAATTACCAAAGGTAAGAAAAAAAAATACCAATTACACAGTTGAAAGTAAAAAAAAATGATTAGTAATTATTCAATATCCCGCCACGCGTTGGGATTGCTTCAACAGATTGCTCTTTTTGATTGAAGAATACCGAATATATGATCAAAGATCAGAAAAATGGTTCTTAATATAGCGTCTGCTGTCTCCGCGTGCATTTGATATTGCCGCAGTAAATTACAAAAAGGCTGCATTTATAGCCCTTTACAAGTGCTGTGAGAATTGTTTCCTTACTCTTGTTAACAATTGTGGTATAATCGATAACTTCATTGATTGTAGCATTTTCATTGATTTCAGTAAATAATAAGAAAAAAAAAATATTGAAGTTCTTACGGTTTTTCGTGCAGACGTGATGAATAGCCCATACTGCCCATAGCTGAACTGGATTAGCCTCATTGCATCGTAAAAGTGGAAAGAATGGCTGAAAACTTCGGTAGGCTACCATTTCACCTTGTGGAGTTTGCCACTTAGTAACAGCTTTTTCCAATTGCTCTAGCAATTGCTGTCTGTTTGGTATAGTCGGTGGTGCCATCCAATTTTCCCAGGCGTGTATACCATCGCTTAACAAATGAGCAGCAATACCAGCTGCGAAGTAAGATACATCAATGTGTTCCGAATCCAGCAAAAATGATAGCATGATCATGAATCGTGGTCGCATGAGTCTCTGTCTCAATTGGGCAACCTACAATCAGTTGGTAATATTTTCAATAACAAACAGAGAAACGGAGATAGGCATTTTAGGCTACGTATCTTATCCAAATAAAAAATTTGTAGTTTCCCTGGAAAGTTTATGTGAATCCATAAAATAACGATATGCTTCATAATCATTTTATATCTTAACTTCCATAGAATAATTATTCCAACCACCAACACAGTTAATTGAAAAACTCCTGGCCAGTTGCGGTCTACAGCAATTGATTCATTGCTACGAACGAGAAAATTGCCAGAAGGAAGAATTTCTAAATTAATATTTTAAGTGTTTTCAGGAATGATTTCAATTTATTACAAGAATTGTGAGGCGGTAAAATTATTCAAAGTATTTCCTTCAAGGTTGAAGACTATGAATACATCATAAGGAGTCGAATTTTCGAAATGATAATACTGTCAAGCCGAGGCAATGAATTGTTGAAGTTTCTTGGTATTCTTGCTATACACGTATACACATTCATCTTCACACATGCATCACCCGATCACGTTGACAAATATGTCACTGCCACAAGGCGCGTTCCCAAATGGCGGATAGAGTAGCGCTCCTCGACCTCTTTTATTGGAGGAAAAGGGTAGAGACGAAGTAAAACCGTCCCTGAAGACCAAACACAATCAAGATAGATATCTAGACCCGTAGTTGTCTTTGTTCACCGACATTTGGTCTCCATGATGTCTAAGACTAGTGCGGAAATTAGCGGCCGGAAGGTAACCATGGTGGACCCTCCGGGCACCACTGCGAGTAGAGGATCAACGCAGATCCACCACGACAAATAGTGGAGAGAGGCCTTCACTAAACTAGAAAGGCTAATCATTGGACTGCATGACATCATCCAGCCGCAGACGAACGTGCACCAAGAGATGAAGTCTAAGGTGGCATCCATCTGTGATGGCTTGAAGGACCTGCACATCACCGACCTTGATGAGGTGACTACCAAGGAGGAAGTTCAGGTAGCACTGCAGGAAGCCGCTGGGACCGGTTTCATGATTGACCTCGGGGCAGTCAGAGTTATCAGAAAGGCGTTCAGAGGAACACATACCGATCTGGTGACTCTGGCAGCGTCATCAGCGAGGAAAACCTTTGGCCAAGGAGCCAGGATCAAAATTGGATAGGTCAACTGTTAGATTACAAAGGTGGACAGATCAGCTAAGTGCTTTAAGTGCTAGCAGTAGCACTTAAACATATGTAACACATCTCGCAACCCAGTACAAGAGCCAGGTGGACCAAAGTCCAAGCTTTGCATCAAATGCGCAAAGCCTGGGCATAAAGTGGCCGTGAGCAGCGAGGAACCTAAGTGTGTCCTTTGTTCCGGCAGTGGAGCGAAGGAGAAGTCGACGCACATCGCTAACACTGACAGATACCCAGCGTTCAACGGGGCGGTTCAGAAGTTCACAAGTTCTCACAAAAATCTGACATCTAGCGTCGACCACCTTGTCCAGAATCTTTAGAAGATTTCTCTAGAGCCGCGTGATATAAAAAAATGTTTAAACTGCATAACCCGCTCATGTGATGTAATCGTTCAGCTGAGATGACCAATGGCCTCCCACCTCAGCCACCTGAGGCACCACGTGACAGAGGAGTTGGTCCATCGATGATTGACGCCTACCATCATGTGGCCCTTCAATCGGTTTCCTTTGCATTCCGACGTAATTTTCAGAGGTTCACGCAACCCTCCGTCCATTAGCCCGCCCTCTGGCACGAAAACACTCCAACAGAAAATCAAAACCCAAAATGTTAGGCGCCAGGTCAATTTTAAGCGGACTGACAGCCGTATCAAAATCCTTCTCCGCTCTCAGCTTCAATTGCTCCACTAGCTCGACATGTAGAGATTTAGAAAATCGGAAGCTGAAAGGGGATGCAACTGGGATTCTTAATGGAATAAATAAAATATGAAATTGGCGGGAAGAACAATATTTATTAAAAAAAAAATAAGTATCAATATAATAAAAAAAAATAATAAAATAAAATCCCCTTAACTTGATTAAACGTTACTGCGTACTCAATATAATTTCAAATAAGTCACTGTCGTCTAAACAGAATTAATTAAATATTTTCTGAAGTCTAACAATAGTAAAATAAATAAATAAATAATCATAAAACAGTCAAATAATTCATAACAATAAATTATTGAATAACTGAGTCACTAGACTCAAATCGTTAATGTCAGTAAACAAATAATAAATTATTTAAAACAACTGAGTTACGAAACTCGAGTTGTTAGAGTCGGAATAAGTCACAAAATTTTTAATCATAAGTACTTCGAATAAAATTGTCAAAATAAATGCAATGACCCGTAACAGCAACGCGAAAATCGATAAGTCTAGTAACCTCGAACACAACAAAATTACACAGAAAAATACAAATCTAGAAACAAATAATTCGGACGTCACGAAACCTTTAGAACTGGATTAAATCTAAATGAAATTCAATGGCGAGATTTCCATAGATTTCGCGACAAAATTTTATCCAACGAACGTCGCGAAACTCACTAAACTTTAACTCACAAAATGCCAACTAAAAGAATAAACTAGATAATTATCCCGAACAAGAGAGAGAGAGAGCCAAAATTACTGAATGGAGTGGCCAGAGATTCCCCGATGAAACAATTAACTAACAGTCCCATAGGACTCGGGTGTACGAAACACCAAAAAATAAAAATAAAATAGAATCACTGCCCACAATCGATCGAATAAGTAAAACAAAATAGTTGGCCACTACGCTCACCCAATAATTCCAGTTGAATTCTCCAAAAGAAAACTTGAGTATAATTAACTGAAACGAAATGGCGAACTCCGGAATTAGATTGGCGTGTTTTTCCAAAATTTTTGGCACTATGTCTGCTCCCCAAGCCCACCAAACGGGAAGTGTCGGCCGAAAGCACGTGAACGCGAGGCAACAAGTTCTGAACGCGACAAAAATTGTGATTGGTGATGACAACGTCATCATTTGTCAATCCGAAATAGATAGACATGCGCAATCAATGTGAATGATTATTCACGCATGCGCCATACAATTCAGCGATGCTTAACAGTAATTTTCTTATTCATTATTCATGAGAATAAATTCTCAGCGCTGCCTAAAAAATCCAAAACCATTTTCACGTTCACCAACCCTGAAAGAATAGTAACTCTCCATAATTTAGTTTAATCCTATTTTTCATTAATCGTCGATCAACCTCGTGCTCAGTAACTGCGTCACTTCCGATGTTAGTATGAGTGCATTGTGGCTCCCTTAGCACAATCCAAAATCCAAACATCATCAAAGTTTTAGGAGTCCGATGACATCTCTCGGCATCCTGTGGATCCTCGGCGATGTCCTCAGATTCGAACGCGGTGGCGCGTAATTTAAATTCAAAAATAAAACAAAATCAAAACATATTCTCCTCTCCTCTCAATATTTCTCGCCATTGAAGGTGACTTCCCGACTGGGGGAAGTCTCTAAAATCACGCGAAATGGTCGAGAACTAGTAACTGGTAGAAATACCACGTTACAGCATATCTACCGTATGAGGGTGTTTGCTCGCTTTTCTCAGAAATTTGCTTTCAATGGTTTAGTAGTTACTCAATTAATGCTTAGAATTTTATCGGCTTTGTTCAGCTCTCGTTTCAATAGACTTACAAGTGCAAATAATAATGCTTTACTATTTCGACTTGAACTTTTGACTGATTCCAGGAGAGCCATTTTCTGTACTTTTTTTCACACCATTCTTGTATCTCTGGTGAACATCTGTACCTCATCTTGAACTTTTTCGTCTCCGAAGGTTAGTTTCGTATCGCTGAGGATTCTGGTTGATCGCATCGAGAATAAGCGTTTACCCGTTGCAGCTCGTCCTGATCAACTCTTAAATATAGCTTCGATGAAAGTTGTATTATTGAGACTCTCGGTGCTCGTAAGGCTCTTGATCAGCCGACTGCTCATTGCAGTCCAATCGTCGTCCACGTGCTCTCTCATCGCTCATTTAACGGGTTTCATGAGGCATGAAAAAATAAGATCGGCGCCTTTACTAAGTATCCGAGTCTTGAGCATCTCCTCAAATTTCTCCAAGGTCGTTCTCGAGCAATGGAGACTCCTCCTCTCAGTCTAGTGTTAAGACTCGCTTAAAGACCAAGACCAGCGCTAAGGCTAACCAGGAGTCAGCGTCTCGTCCAGGTCAGCAACCTTTGCAGAAGCCCCCGGGCAGAGTTGCCAGATGGCAGGTTTTTTAAAATGTTTTTTGATTTTATACAGCCAGTAAAGCCGATCAGGAGACGAATTCACACATGTCATTGAGGCCTTTCTATGATGTACCCTATTGTGGAAAAATCAAAAAGAAATTAAAAAAAAAATCGCCATTTGATCACCCGGCTCCCAGGCTGAACTCGAATACAGTGCACTAAGTCGTCGCCCTGCGCAGACACTGGTTATCCTTGTTCTTGCTGTAGATGGATCATTAGATCGCCTCTTGCAGTGCGTTCAAGTCTGTCTTACCAGCCACTTGCAAGAAGGTAGACAACCTTCTCACTTGTGCTATGCCTGTCTGGGAAAGCAGAGCATTCACGTCTGCCAGACATCTCGCACGTGCAGGACATAACAAGGTAATAGACATTTTACGATGGGGTGAAAACTTAATCTGATAATTAGTATTTTATTTTGTATCCAGTCACTGGTCACCGCAGTATTAAGTGGCAGAGCTTGGGGAATTTCCCATGCTCCCTTCCCCCTTTTTCCCAGGAAGTGCACCTGCAAATGCAAATGTATCCCCCCTCCTGCCTCCCTAGAGGCTATTGTGTGAATGAGTGTTTGGACACACTCGCCCGCTTACCTTGATAGAGGAGATTGACTTTAAATTGTGCGGTCCCGCCTTTTTCATGATTTCCTTAAACGTTGTATATTGCTGTTTCGTTAAAGATTGTATATAATTGGAAAATAGACTTCCGATCTAGGAGTTGCGGGCTGGGTCACTACGTAGGTCGAAATATCGCATAACCCTTAGAACG